TGCAAATTTAAATTTTAGAATTTTAAATATTATCTATTAGAAGTGTAAGAATAATTTTATAAATCAATTAAATTTAATTATTTCTTTCTTAGAGTAAAAATAATGTTTATTCTAACTTTAAATTTGCACTCCAGCCACTTGATAATGATTTTCAAATACGAAATATTTATTTATTAATTAATTATCTTTTAGAGTTTAAACAGAATAAGTTCAAATTTGAATCTTAAAATTAGATGAAATTGGATTATGCTCAAAGAAAATCAATTTAAGCTTAAATTTTGAGATTAGATTTTGTCAAATATAATTTAAACCTAAGTCTTTACAAATTATTTAATTTGATTCTTAATTTTATACAAATTGATTTCTTTGATTATGCCAATTAAGAAAAAAGAAAGAAAGATTCATTAAACAATAATAATAACAATAATAATAGTAATAATAATTTGATCCGGATATAAATGAGTGTTTACATCAAAGATGTTGACTCAGGGTGAGTTTAATCTGGAAAGATAAGGATGCTAACAAGTGATTGAACCTCTCGGACTTTACCTTTAAGGATGGAGAGATTATAGAGGAGAGAGCTTGAACGAGACTCTGGGCCTGAATCAGCTGTTTCAAGGGACGATGAAACAATGTCTTCTGCAGCCACAGGATACATTGGCAACCCTTGTGATGAAATCGGGAAACATGACGCACCCCTGATGAAATCATTTTCAAAATCTACGATGGTGGCTTGATCTTTGTCAGTTGGGATTTGAAACGGTTGTTCGTCGGTAATGTAGGAACAGGTAGACAAATAGGATACTTCTAAGTCTAGTCCAGAACAAGTCTATGTTGACGAGAATCAAGGCCCAGTAAACCATAAATGCTTCCTAGCAAAATTTCCCAAGTTAATTTTTTTATTTTCCAAAGCACAATTTTTCAAGTATACCAAACTTATTTCCCTCTTGAATCTCACGATACGAAAAGATACGAAAAGAATTCTCACTGTTTTATTACTCAGGACAAAACTCGTCTAAAACTCGTCTACTACCAAATTTTCTATTCTTTTTTCATGTATATGGCTTTCGCGTTTGGTCTATCTCCCCTGGAGATTTCAAGAACCTAAATGCTAACAGCAGACTACCGAACCCCCCTACACGAGCTGGCTGTTGTTCTCCTTTTCCGATCTGATATTTTTTATTTGCCTTTTCTGGTTGGTTTTTTTATAGGAATTTAATCTCCTTTTAATCAAGAAACTCAATGAACTAATTTATATTGAATGTGATTTGATTTGATTTTAAATATAAATTAATTCTGTAATTAAATTTCAAAAATTTTATAAAATCATTTTCATCGAATTTTATTCAATTTTTTTTAAAAAAATTAAATTAAAAATTTTCAAACTTCTCAATCAAATCCACTAACAGTCGAAAGCTCATCAAAAAAATTTCGAATAAAATAGGAAATCTACTAAAATTTTAAGCACAGAAAAACTAGTTTTTGAGGAGACTTTTCCTCCTAAATGTATAGCCACAGGGTTGGTTTTATTTTATTTTATTTTTTGTACAGGAAATGGAAGTCAATTAGGTGCTACATATTTTCTCCTTTTTTTTTTAATTTTTTTGGATTTGTAGCACAAAAATGAAAAGAAAAGTAAAAAAAAAAAAAAAAGAGAGGTCAGACAGTTTGAGGAATTTCGAAAGTAAAATAAATTCCCTGATGCCTCTGCAGTCTACTCATTGGTCATAGCTTTGTAAGTTTCTAATAAACTTTAACTATTTAAACTTTTTCCTAGTCTTCGTTGCTGGGACATTGGCAAATGTCCCTGGCCAAAAACTGTTGCTGACTTTTTAAACTCTTTCTTAGTTTTCGTTGCTGGTACCCAGGCCAAAAATTTACTCGCGTTCTTATCTGAGCCACACCAGTACATAAATTCCCTGACGCTTCTGCAGTCTGCTCATTAGTCATAGCTTTGTAAGTTCTTTAGAAATTGAAACTTCAAAATCAAATGGAGCATCATATGGCACAGACTCAAGCTTGGAGACCATGTGTCACAAGCACATCGTTTTCCCAGAAGGCCCAGCCCTTGAGTTGTCAGCCGTGTTTTGTAGGATTGCCCTGTTCTGAAACAAATGGGAGTCAGCTGGACCTTGCAGGAGCATCGACAGAAGTTCCCAGTGGACGAAAACGAAGCGGTCCCAAACGAACCCGTAACGAGGAGGAAAGCAAAAGAAGAAAGAATGAGAACTGTAAAAAGTATAGGAAAAAACATAAGGTAATATTAAAAGAGATCTATCTGCATATCCATTTCTAGTTCTTATTATTTAAGAATTTTTTTTAATTTTTGTTTTTCTATGTGTGCAAAATGAAGGACGAGTTCCAAAAGCTGTGGGAACTAGCGCAGAAGTTTGGAGGACCTGAGAAAATGGACCAAAAGATTAATGAAATGGAGGCTAGGTCTGAGAAAATGAGAAAATGGACCAAAAGATTAATGACATGGAAGCTAAGTTACGTACACTAGAGGTAATTGAGCAGCAATTCCGGCAGAAGGTTAATGAAACGGAAGCTAAGTTACGTGGACTAAATGGAATTGGGCAGGAATTCCACTTGCACCAGCAAATGGCAACTGAGTTCCATAGACCCGAGAAGTTGGATGGGATTGAGGAAATGGATTCCAAGTTACCTAGATTCAACCAAATAAATTCCACGATCAGGGAGATTCATGGAATAGTGCCCGAAATAAATGGGCCTACGAACATATTCCGGTACATTCCAAATAAGCAAATGGTGTTGTGCTAAAAGCCTCCAATCCAATCACATCAGCGGAAACGAAATCAAACAATAAATCAAACACACAGGAGACAATAATTTAACGTGGTTCGGTCCAACTGACCTACATCTACGGATGAGAAACAAGATCTATTAATTGTAGAGAATTACAAACTTACATCAAATCATCAACCCCACTCAACAATCAATACTCATAAGACACTCCCAATCTCCTCTAGTCCTATGAAGTATTCTCTACCCAAACAAACACAAACCCAAACTCTTGTGCACCCTTTCAACATAACCAAACACATACCCATATGTTCCCATACATCATACCTATATGGACTCTATCAGTCTTCTCTAATCCACTCATAAACAAACATACACACTTATAAGACGTAGAGCCCCAATACTCCTATGGGGTGTCTATCCCACAAAACCCTACAACTCTCTTACATCTTTTTCTCATACCTAACCCTGTAGAGACTTCACCTATTTATAACCATACAAACTTGCCCATTAAGAATCCCTCTCCTCTTAGAATTCTTCTCCTGTAAGTCAAACTTGCCTATTAAGAATCCATTTCCTTTTAGAATTCTTCTCTTGCAAGTTAAACTTACCTATTAAGAATCCTCTTTCTCTTAGAATTCTTTTTTTGCAAGTCTTCTTGTCCATCAAGCAATATCTGAAAAATCTTAAACAAATCTCTAACAAATCTCAAACAAATCTCTTATGAGATTTGAGTCAATATTCCCAAAAAATGGAGTCCTCGAACCACCAAAATGCACAGGTATCTCTCGTCCCTAAAAGTGTTCTTTTATATTTTAGTTGATCAGGAAAAACACAAATTGATCTTTTAATATTCTAGCTTTTGGTGATCCAATACTGGATGACTCATCATTGAACTTACACTCAAAACCAAGATTTGGACACTATGAAAAAACAAATTATATTCTTTATTTCCTAACTATTGGTGGCTCTGAAACAATATTTTGCTGCCTTTGCTGTGAGCCTTTGAATAATACTCTATAATTTGCAGCATACAGACTATCATGGAACGCAGTCACAAGTGCAAGGATCGACGATTGACTGGTATGGTCACATTTTGTTGCACTGCTTTTGTTTGTTGAATGAACTTTTTTTTGGGCCAATAGAAAGAGGATGAGTATGCCAATTGTTTTATTTTTGCTTTTGCACTCACTTTCTGATTAATTATGTGCCCCAAGAAGATAAAGTTTTGTCTGGTAAATTTTATAAGTTTTCAATAATTCTAGCTTAGACATACTAACTTGATCTTTTAGCTCTTTAAATAAGGAATTTGTTTCCTCATTTAATCAAACATGCATGTTGACATTAATTGCTATGTGAAGCGTACAAACTTCTATTATTTTGATTTCCAATTATTAGTTAGACTAATTTTTACTGAAACTTTCATGTATGCAATATGAATTATAGTGTTTGAATTATATTCCTTGTGGGAAGAAGTTTATAAGTACTTTTCTATGCAACAATATTGTTATTTTAGTGTTTTTTTTTACTAAAATTGTCTTTATGGATGTGATTTCCTTACTCTTTAGTACATCTTTTACTTTTATTTTGATTATGTTTGAGATCTCGTCAACCTATTATTGGATTCAGTTGGAAGGTTATGAAATTAGTCAGATGTTTCATGCGGCTGCGCTTGGGACAGTGCCTGACCTCGTATATTCTGCTGCGGGATTGAATGAATTTATTGCCCAATTTGATGAGTATGAAATGAGCAACATACGCTTGTACGGATTTAACAATTTACATGGAGATTGCCAAATTGTTGGAGACTATACTTTCACGCAGCCCTTGGACTGTAGTGCTAATGATATATTCAATACTGAACACAGTGATGCTACACGAAATGACCAAAGTACATTCAATTGGGCCTTTACCAATAACCAATTTGATTGGCTTTTAGGTTAGATGCTTAGTGGAGGAGATGCTTAGGGGAGGGGAGGATTGCGGATATAACTTCTGCTGTTCCTAACCTTCTATTGGAGACTATTTGTGTGGGGTTTCCATATTTCCATTCCCTCTTACTGTGCTAAACTCTGATTTATAAAGTCCTCATTTCCTCTATCCCAAAGAAAAATCCACTGATTCTCTTCTAGCTCGGTAATTGGAATTTTTTCCTTTCTAATTTACAGAGATTATCTTGCAAAAAAGCATTGGTTTGTGGCAAAATCTAGAGTTTTTTCCAGGTTTCTGTAACTTGAATTACCCCTTGTAATCTCTGTAACAAGCATCATAGTAGTTTGAAGTTTCCATTGACACAAGGTATTTCCAAATCTGAAAGTCATTTCCCATCAGTTCAAAATGCTGCTGCTATAGTTTACTCATAAATGTGGCAAACGCCAGAGCTGAAAACAGCACAAAATAAGGAAAAAAAAAAGGGATATGAAAGCTCAAAAATAATTCAAAGCTTCACACTTTCAACTTCATTTACAACATTTGGATTAATGAGCTGGACAAAAAACATTGTTAACCTTAAAATCCTACAATTGTTCCTCAGTTTGCAGTTCAACCCTCAATAGCCAACCAAACAAAACAATTAAGTCAATTGATGAAAGTTGAAGTACAATGAAAACTGCAATTAAACACCTAAAGGACCCCATTGGCAGATCCAGTTTCTCCCATTATCTCCATAATCTGCTTCTGCATCAACTCAGCCTTCTTAGCCACCAATTTAGCTTCTTCAACCTTTATCAATACCCATTCTTGATCCATCTTCTTCAACTTCTCCTCTTCCAACCCCTTCATCCTCTCTTTCCACACCTCATTGTCAGGCAAAACCCTCGAAAACTCAGCCACTAAATAAGGGAACTTGTCCAAATCCCAAACTCCATCTCCCTTTCCACTTTCCATTCGCTCTTTTGCCTTCTTTGGGGTTATTTTCTTGCCCCATATTCTTTTTGAAAGCTTGAATATCCTTCGGTCGTGATGGGTTCTTACAAGGGACTTGGTTCTTGCATGTTTGTGGTACTTCATTCTCAGTCTACGGACCTTGTCGTTGATTTGGGAAGGACTGAACTGATAGTTGAGACGCTTGACGATACGGTTGATTGTTGGGGTACCAACAGTTGTGATCGGTGGAGAAACGGATTTGGTGGCTCTGATTAAACATCTTAGGATCTGGGTTTCGTCTGATTCGCTGAAAACTCTTGAGGATCGGCCGTTTGGAGTGGTGGAAGGTGTGGGGGTTGACATGGTGAGACAAAGAATGGTAAGTTTTGGAGCTGCAGTTGGAATTTGCAAAGGAAGGTTCCAATTAGATGGGTATCGGAGAAGAGCACTAGCCCGTTACTAGCGAGGGCGCCGCGCAGTCTTTTCTAATTTTCAAAGGTTGGCATGTCAGGCTTCACAGGCAAGTGGGTTGGGCCTCCATCATGAGTGGGCAGGCCTTCCCACGTCCGGAAGGTTTCGAAAAGGTTTAGAATGTGTGTTTATATGAAATTTTACGTTAATTTAAAATAATTAATTTTAAAATTAATAGCATGTGTTTAGCCCTATCAAGGCGCCTCCGTTAATTTACTAAATATAGAGACGCCTCCACGAGATTACCAAAGATGGCATGTGAAGGCTTCTCAAATAAATAGGTTTGAGCCTTTTTATCTTTCATAATTCGAGACGCCTCCGCTAGCTTTCTAAATATAGAAGCGCCTCCACTAGATTAGATGAAGGCTTCTTAGATAAATGGGTTTGGGCCTTTATCTTTCATAAATGAAGTCTTTTTGTATCGAAAAGATTTGAAGTGCGTGTTTATATGAAATTCTGCATAAATTTAAAATAATTAATTTTAAAATTAATGATGTGTATTATTTTTAAAAAAATAAAATAGAATATATGATAAATGGGGAAAATCACAAACCAATTTGTCATACCATTGAAGTGAAAATCCCTAGAAAACGATTTCTAGGAAACAAATCGAAAGACTAGAAGTTGAAGGTATGCCAAAATTTTGAAGATTGTAAAATTAAAAATCATACCAATTTAGTACTCTATATATATTTCGACTTTAGGCTTTTGGGCAAAGATGAAGCTAAGGATAAACCATTATGCATGAGATCAGTCCACCTTGGTCCAGCCCATTTGGTTTTGCTCTTTGACACACATACGAGCCCTATGTCTTATGTGTGTCATCTTTAAGACTCCAATTCTATACCTGACTCGTTTCACGCTTTCACTAATAAAAACTCACCAAGTTTTCTCTTTTTTCCTTTGCAGTCCAACTGAGAGTGGCTTACATTTCTAACTCATTTCATTCAGGTAATTGATTTCAGATTCAACAACCTCTCTCCCTAATGGGTTTCTCTTTAAATCTTGTTTAAAGATTCTTTCTCAATTTTTTATTTATCTCTATCCTTGAAAAGGCTATTATTTTCCTTGTTCTATGTTTATTTTTCTATTCTTGAAGTGGGATTTTGTCCGATACTTGTATTTTCTGGTCATTCACTCATTTGAGAATAATAAACTACAATAATTATGGCCTAGGCTCTACAAGTTAGAATATGATGGATTAGTTTTAAGTTTATTTCTAGAATATGATGGAGTAGTTTTAAGTTTATTTCTTTGTATTGATTCTGCTTACGTTTGCTTTAAAATTTACAACTACAATGGAACAAAAGAGAAGCAATTAGAACTTAAAATTTTGGTGGTGAAAGTTAGTGGCTTGTAGTGGAAATCTCCGATTATCAGGACTGGTTAAGTGATCCCACTTTGCAATTTCAAAATGGTTGTAGTGAATTCTGGTAATTATGCTGTAGATAGTAGCTGAGGCCAATTGTCTTAGCATATACGAGCATCCTTGAGCTGTGAATTGAGGCAAGTTTGCAGGCATATTGGTCTTAACCATTTGTATAAATATCATGCTTTCAGTGGAAAGTTTTGTGCTATACACGCCTGTGGTAATCAGCGGGAGTGAAAACCTGCCGAGCTAGTTTACTCAGATTTGCAGGTTAGATAGAGGTTCATACGGAACCTCTGTTTGCTTTTTGGTAACACGTAGCCGAGCTTCTCAAACTGGAAATTCTGCAGCATTTTTAGATCAATTCTTCTATTGCACCATGTTCTTATATTAATAAGTAAGTTCATTAACCATTGGCCATTTGTAAGATTTAAAATTTCAATGCTTCTTAGAGTAACTTATTTTCCATGTTACCTAAAGGTTTCATGAATTTTATATTTATATGTCACTGTAAAACTCATACCATACACTGACATACAAAAACTTAAGTTAAATTGAATGCATCAAAGATTATTGTCAAAGGCTTGCCTTCCAACGTTTTAACTTTTAAAGTCCATTATGCCTTTCTCTTTAGCTGCATGTCTTTCATGCGTATAATCAATTTTTGTTGATAATGAGGACCAAGTTGCTTTGACACTGACTAATGGCTCATTTTCTCTTGTATTATTGTCCTTAAAGTTTTGTGGATCTTCTTTCAAATTTATCATACTTGTGCCGTCTTTTCCTGCAGAATAGAGATAGACATAAGGCTTCCTATTGTTGGTGAGCAGCAATGGAAGATATGGATATAGTCATTCAATGTACCAATGGCTCCAGGGAAGACACGATCAATCGTTTGTAGTGCTCGAAACTTCTTCCAGTTTACAGTGCCAGGGCCTGCCTGGTGGCAGGTGAGTACTATTTCCTTGTGCTTCTAATGCATATGTTTTGTCTGATGTTGTAGTTATACGGGGATCTTTACTCCTTCCTATATTTCTTTCATGATGTTTCCTATAGCCCTATACCTTCTTTTCTATGTACATTATGTTAGAGCATCTTGCAAGGTTTATTGAACACGGTCTATTTTATTGTTTTGTTTAGTTGAAGTATATAAACCTGTCTGTAATCTTGTGCTATGTTAATGAGTAGACTATTCCCGAGAATTGTAATGTGCTCAGAAATTTTGCACTAGTAACCACAGATTTTGGATGCCTTTGATGATAAACGATGCCTGTATCAACTAAACCACAAATTTAGCCGGCATCTCAGTTCGTGATCATAGTTTCACATTAAGAGAAAAGCCTTGACTTCAGTACCCAAGTTTTGCTCTGCTTCATTTCTGTATAAATTGGTAAGTCAATCATTCCTGGCTTCTCGGTTCAGGTTATTCCTAGATGGTATGAGCATTGGATTTCAAACAAGGTTTACGATGGAGACATGATCGTACTTCAAGGTCAAGAAAAGATCTTTCTTTCAAAGTCAATGGATAGTTCAGAGGATGTAAATAAGCAGTACACGAAGCTGACATTTACACCCACACAAGCTGATCGCTTTGTCTTGGCATTTCGAAACTGGCTAATGCGTCACGGCAACAGTCAACCCGAATGGCACAGCACCAGCGTCCAACAACCTCTCCCATCAACAGTATTATCAAAACGCCAGGTATAGAAAACTTATAATTCACTGATATTCGCAACAACAGGTTCTTCTGAGCATGTTCTGAAATATTTCGTTACCATTTGCAGATGTTAGATAAATTCGAGCAGCATACCCTCACGTGTTCATCATGTAAACAAGCTTACACATCATTCCAAACATGGCAAAAGATCCTAATTGGCCAACAGTCGCATTTTGCGCGACAGCGAGCATTCCTTCCAACATCCAGCTCCGGGTTGTTTTAGCTATGCTTGCACTGGTTTCTGCTGGTTTGGCATATGCATTGCATCAACTACAAAAGAACTTTGTTTTTGTTGATTACGTGCACGCCGAAATTGATTAGAACAAGTTTGACTAGAAAATTTGAGTGTAAATGAACAAAATGCTGACCAACGGAACTTGAAACAGTTTTTGTTTTTATTTGTTTAAGTTTATTATTAATCTTAACAAATAATTATATATAATATTTTAAAAATTTATAACTCTTTTTGTTTTATTTTTTTTTGTTCATTTTTTCTTTTTTGGAATGTTTCAAAATTATATCTTTTTTTCTTTTTACATCTAAAATTTTCATTTTTTATATTTTGAAATTATTTTTTATGTTTTTTTCTACACTTTGATGTTAAAAATAATGAAATTTTAATTTTATCAAAAAGATTTTAATTTTAATATTAAATAGATTAAAGTAAAAAAATTTAAATTTCATAAAAATTAATGTCTCAAACATTTTAAGACAAAAAATAAATAAATAAATCATAAATATAATAAAATTTATTTAAGTTTAATTCATTTAAATTCAAATATAATTAAACAAAATATTTAATAAACCAAACAATCCTTAGAGTAAAAATAATATTTATTCCAAATTTAAACTTGTGTTCCAACTATTTGATAACGACTTTCAAATTCGAAATATTTTATTTATTAAATAATTATTTTAAATATATTAAAATATTAAAATAAAATGTTTTTAATCATTTAAAGTGGACTAGATATATGAACAATAATTACACACTTATAAGCAGAAGGCAGAGTAACTTTATTATAAAAAATATTTTGACTATCTAATTACTACTTAAATCAGTCCATGGCGATTGGAGTTGTTTAAAGTGGCCTTGGATATTACGGCATGATTTCTGTCCTGTCAGAAGGGCTCGCGAAAGAAAACCTAAAAGAAAGACAAGCGCACGAGACGTAAACCAACGTGGGGTACGTAAGACTAACGATTCAATCATCGCTCCACATTACTCCAAAACGCACGCGTTTGACGTGCTTTACTCGTCATGTCAATATCAATAATTCGGCGCCCGTGATATCTCTGCTTTACTCGCCACACCAGTATAAATATCAAAATAAAATAAAATAAATAATTTAATATATAAAGTTAAAACGAAATACCATAAATCTTTTTTTGACTTGATTTTGTTTTAAAAAAATTGATTATATTTTAAATAAAATATTTATTTATTGGATTTAAATAAATCAAAATTTAATGAATACATATTATTTTATTATTTATATTTTTATTAATATTTTTTAAAATTTTTTTATTTATTAATTTTTTGTTATAAATTTCCGATTAAAAAAATAAAAAAATGAAATAAATCAATTGTATACAGTAATGGGCTTTTCAATAAAACAATCTTATTAAAAAATAAGATAAGGACAAAAAAGTCAAGCTATCACTGACATACGCAATGATAACCTTTTTTTGTATCATTTTTTAAAAAATTTATCAAATAAAAAAACAAAAAAAACATTTTTAAATAAATAATATTAAATGGATCTCGCATTAAAAAAATTAAAAATATTAAAAGAATATATAAATTTTAAAAAAAATAAAAAAATAAAGTAAATAAAAAATTGATAAAAAATAACTTGACAAATGGTATACCCCTATATTAATTTGACGAGACAAAAATGAATTTAAATTTTTAAAAAATATTTATTACAAATAATAAAAAAAACGAGCTACTCGGATAATAAGTTTATCTCACTAACTCTATATTTTTTATCTATTTATAAAATAATTAAAAAATAATATAAGGTAAATTTAAAAAATGAAGACAAAGTTGATTCTAAAGTTCCAACGAAATAGAGAAAGAAATATTCAAAATTTCATGCTTATTTGGTATTCTTTTTGGGTGATAAATTTTAAGTGTTTTCATTTTTTTTATTTGATGGTTGTGATGTAAAAGTTTTCATAATTTTTTTTTTATCACAACCATCAAATGAAGTAAAAAAAATTTTTATTTGATGGTTGTTTACTTCATTTTTTTTTTTTTTTTTGTTTTTCATTCTAATTGAATAGAGTTTAAACAAAAATAAATCAAGCATATATACTTCATGAATACTCTCAACAGTTACATGATTCAAAAAAAAAAATCTCAAAATGAATAGAAATGCATAAAATTAATGTGAAACTAATTAGCATGCTAAAATCAACTCAACCCTTCTTAATTTCTATCTAATTGTAAAAGCAAGAGAAAAATTAGCTCAGATAAAACGTTAAAAATCCATGATACGATTCTAGCTAGCAGTTGATTGTAGACAATTATACAACAAAACCTTAGAAGTATATGATTAAATAAATTAAACTATTAGATAGTAGATTTTTTATGATTATAACAAAGTTATCATAATGATATTAGTTGGTAACTCAGTATATATGAATTTTGAAAAAAAAATTGATACATTAGGATTATTGTATCATTTCATTTTTTTGTATCAATTGTACCGATTCGTACTAATCATCTTGAACCATTTCTACCTATCCAAGATTTTGTTTCTTTTTTATTATTTTTTTAATCTTTTCACTTTTTATTATTTTGTTTCGTACTAATACTTTGTTGCCTTTATTGTGAGCCTTTGTATAATACTCTATAATTTGCAGCATACAAACCATAATGGAATACAGTTACAAGAGCAAGGATCTGTGATTGACTGGATATGGTCCTTTTGTTTGTTGAATGAATCTTTTTTTTTTCTTGGTCAATAGAATGAGGATGAGTATGCCAATTGTTTTATTTTTGCTTTTGCACTTACTTTCTGATTAATTATGTGCCCCAAGTTGATACAGTTTTGTCTAGTCACTTTTTTGATAAATTTTCAATATTATAAACCAATTAAATTTATTTTCAATAATATAAACCAATTAAATTTAATTGTTTCTTTCTTAGAGTAAAAATAGTGTTCCAAATTTAAACTCACGCTCCTACTATTTGATAATGACTTTCAAATGCGAAATATTTTATTTATTAACTAATTATTTTTTAAAATTTAATTTTAAATATATTAAAATATTAAAATAAAATGTTTTTAATAATTTAAAGTGGACTTGATGCATGAATAATAATTATGCGCTTCGAAGCAGAGAGCAGACTAACTTTATTATTTACTCAATCAATGGAGATTGGAGTGATTTAAGGTGTCTCGTGGCATAATATGGGAAGAGGAGCGGGAGCTGTCCATCTGAAAATTAAATATATATAGGTAGATCTGCAGATAGGTCGAATGTTTGGGAGTTTTTTCTCCAACCAAGGCACTCCCATAATCTTATTTGTTAAATTGGAGTAGTTTTAAATTTAATTCTTAAAATGAGGTATTTTATATGTATGAACTCCACGTCAGATAAAAAAAAAATTTAATTAATTATAATTTACCAAAAATTTAATTAAAAATGGCTTGCTCTCATCATCCTAAAGCTTTAATCACTAAATCAAGGTGGGGAAGGAAGATGGGGAAATCAAGGACGATGCACATTCTACTCTTGAATTAGACGGGGTATTTGCAAGCCAAACGGTAGCTAATTTTCAGAAGCCAGTAGCATGGTAGTCAATTTTCAAAAACTGGCAGCATCAGGAGATATTGATTATAAATTTGTGAGTTGCCAATTTTAGAAATTAGACTATTTTAAGTAGAGGAAAATGTTATTTCAGAAATCGTTTTTTATTCAGATTTATGTTTTTTTAAAGGTCAATGCCTTGATTGTTGGCAAAGGAAAAAAAAAAAAAAAAGAGATATATAATCGCAAATTTATCAGCCAAGGAGGGGTTTGAGGAAAAAATGTAACGTGTATGTTGACATGAAATTTAGTTGCACAATATTATCTGGTTTTTGGAATAAAGTTTATTATAAGATTACAAAATATTGTAGTTTAGGGAAAAACTCGAATGTTTTTACCACGATTTTGTTAACCCAATCAATCGATAGGAATGTCTCATTGTCTAAACTTTTTCTTAGTTCCCATTGCTGGACATAGGCATCTCATTTAGCACCATTTTCAACACGCTTCCCCTTTTTCTTTAGTTCCATTGCTTGACATTGGACACTGTCTACCTTGTCCTTATTTAACCACCACTTTTTCCCTTTTTCTTCAGTTCCATTGCTGGACATAGGCCAAAAACTTACTGGCGTTCTTATTTGAGCCACACCAGTACATAAATCCCTGATGTCTCTGCAGCCTGCTCATAAGTCATAGCTTTGTAAGTTCCTTAGAAATTGAAACTTCAAAATCAAATGGAGCATCACATGGCACAGGCTCAAGCTCGGAGACCTTATCTCTCTGGCAAATTGTTTTCCCAGCAGGACCAGCCGTTGAGTTTTCAACCGGGTATTGAAGTAGGATTGCTCTGTTCTGAACCAAATGGGAGTCAGCTGGACCCTGTAGGAGCATTGAGAGAAGTTCCCAGTGGACGAAAACGAAGGGGTCGCAAACCAACCCTAACCCCGCAGGAAAAACGAAACAAAAAGATTGAGGCTGATAGAAATTGTAGGAAAAAGCATAAGGCAATATTAAAAGAGATCTATTTACATATCCATTTCTAGTTCTTATTATTTAAGAAATTTCTTTTAATTTTTGTTTTTCTATATGTGCAAAATGAAGGAGGAGTTGGAAAAGCTGAGGGCAGTAGCGCTCAAGTTTGGAGAACTTGAGAACATGGACCAAAAGATTAACGGAATAGGAGCTGAGTTACGTAGACTCAAGATAATTGAGAAGGAATTCCTGGACAAGATTAATGAAATGGAAGCTAAGTTACGTAGATTCAATGGAATTGAGCAGGGATTCCGTATGCACCCGCAAACGCCAACTGAGTTCCATGGACTCGAGAAGTTTGGTGGGATTGAGGAAATGGAATCCAAGTTATATAGATTCGACCAAAGAAAGTTCATGATCGGGGGGATTGATGAAATGGTGATCGAAACAAATAGGCCTAAGAACATGGAGTTCCGGCACATCGGAAATGAGCAAATGGAGTCTTTGAACCACCAAAATGCACAGGCATCTCTCTTGTCCCTCTAAGTGTTCAATTTATATTTTAGTTGATCAGAAAAAACATAAAATGATCTTTTAATATTCTAGCTTTGGGTGATCCAATACTGGATGACTCATCATTGAACTTACACTCAAAACCATGATTTGGACACTATGAAAAAAACAAATTATATTCTCTATCTCCTAACTTTTGGTGGCTCTGAAACAGAATTTTGCTGCCTTTTGTTGTGAGCCTTTGTATGGTACCCTATAATTTGCAGCATACAGACTATCATGGAATGCAGTCACAAGTGCAAGGATCTACGATTGACTGGGTACGGTCACATTTTGTTGCACTGTTTTTGTTTGTTCAATGAACTTTTTTATGGGCAAATAGAATGAGGATGAGTATGCCAATTGTTTTATTTTTGCTTTTGCACTCACTTTCTAATTAATTATATGCCCCAAGAAGATAAATTTTTGTCTGGTAAATTTTATAAGTTTTCAATATTTTTAGCTTAGACATACTAATTTGATCTTTTAGCTCTTTAAATAAGGAATTTGTTTCCTCATTTAATCAAACATGCATGTTGATATTAATTGCTATGTGAAGCGTACAAACTTCTATTATTTTGATTTCCAATTATTAGTTAGACTAATTTTTACTGAAACTTTCATGTATGCAATATGAATTATAGTTTTTGAATTATATTCCTTGTGGGAAGAAGTTTATAAGTACTTTTCTATGCAACAATATTGTTATTTTAGTGTTTTTTTTTTACTATAATTGTCTTTATGGATGTGATTTCCTTACTCTTTAGTACATCTTTTACTTTTATTTTGATTATGTTTGAGATCTCTTCAACCTATTATTGGATTCAGTTGGAAGGTTATGAAATTAGTCAGATGTTTCCTGCGGCTGCGCTTGGGACAGTGCCTGACCTCGTATATTCTGCTGCGGGATTGAATGAATTTATTGCCCAATTTGATGAGTATGAAATGAGCAACATACGCTTGTACGGATTTAACAATTTACATGGAGAGTGCCAAATTGTTGGAGACTATACTTTCACGCAGCCCTTGGACTGTAGTGCTAATGATATATTCAATACTGAACACAGTGATGCTACACGAAATGACCAAAGTACATTCAATTGGGCCTTTACCAATAACCAATTTGATTGGCTTTTAGGTTAGATGCTTAGTGGAGGAGATGCTTAGGGGAGGAGAGGATTGCGGATATAACTTCTGCTGTTCCTAACCTTCTATTGGAGACTATTTGTGTGGGGGTTCCATATTTCCATTCCCTCTTACTGTGCTAAACTCTGATTTATAAAGTCCTCATTTCCTCTATCCCAAAGAAAAATCCACTGATTCTCTTCTAGCTCGGTAATTGGAATTTTTTCCTTTCTAATTTACAGAGATTATCATGTAAAAAAGCATTGGTTTGTGGCAAAATCTAGAGTTTTTTCCAGGTTTCTGTAACTTGAATTACCCATTGTAATCTCTGTAACAAGCATCATAGTAGTTTGAAGTTTCCATTGACACAAGGTATTTCCAAATCTGAAAGTCATTTCCCATCAGTTCAAAATGCTGCTGCTATAGTTTACTCATAAATGTGGCAAAAGCCAGATCTGAAAACAGCACAAAATAAGGAAAAAAAAAAAAAAAGGGATATGAAAGCTCAAAAATAATTCAAAGTTTCACACTTTCAACTTCATTTACAACATTTGGATTAATGAGCTGGACAAAAAACATTGTTAACCTTAAAATCCTACAATTGTTCCTCAGTTTGCAGTTCAAAACTCAATAGCCAACCAAACAAAACAATTAAGTCAATTGATGAAAGTTGAAGTACAATGAAAACTGCAATTAAACACCTAAAGGACCCCATTGGCAGATCCAGTTTCTCCCATTATCTCCATAATCTGCTTCTGCATCAACTCAGCCTTCTTAGCCACCAATTTAGCTTCTTCAACCTTTATCAATACCCATTCTTGATCCATCTTCTTCAACTTCTCCTCTTCCAACCCCTTCATCCTCTCTTTCCACACCTCATTGTCAGGCAAAACCCTCGAAAACTCAGCCACTAAATAAGGGAACTTGTCCAAATCCCAAACTCCATCTCCCTTTACACTTTCCATTCGCTCTTTTGCCTTCTTTGGGGTTATTTTCTTGCCCCATATTCTTTTTGAAAGCTTGAATATCCTTCGGTCGTGATGGGTTCTTACGAGGGACTTGGTTCTTGCATGTTTGTGGTACTTCATTCTCAGTCTACGGACCTTGTCGTTGATTTGGGAAGGAGTGAACTGATAGTTGAGACGCTTGACGATACGGTTGATTGTTGGGGTACCAACGGTTGTGATCGGTGGAGATACGGATTTGGTGGCTCTGATTAAACATCTTAGGATCTGGGTTTCGTCTGATTGGCTGAAAACTCTTGAGGATCGGCCGTTTGGAGTGGTGGAAGGTGCGGGGGTTGACATGGTGAGACAAAGAATGGTAAGTTTTGGAGCTGCAGTTGGAATTTGCAAAGGAAGGTTCCAATTAGATGGGTATCGGAGAAGAGCACTAGCCCATTACTAGGGCGCCGCGCAGTTCTTTTCTAATTTTCAAAGGTTGGCATATCAGGCTTCACAGGCAAGTGGGTTGGGCCTCCATCATGAGTGGGCAGGCCTTCCCACGTCCGGAAGGTTTCGAAAAGGTTTAGAATGTGTGTTTATATGAAATTTTACGTTAATTTAAAATAATTAATTTTAAAATTAATAGCATGTGTTTAGCCCTATCAAGGCGCCTCCGTTAATTTACTAAATATAGAGACGCCTCCACGAGATTACCAAAGATGGCATGTGAAGGCTCTCAAATAAATAGGTTTGAGCCTTTTTATCTTTCATAAATGGAGGCGCCTCCGCTGGCTTTCTAAATATAGAAGCACCTCCACGAGATTACCAAAGATGAAGGCTTCTTAGATAAGTGGGTTTGGGCCTTTATCTTTCATAAATCAAGTTTTTTTGTATCGAAAAGATTTGAAGTGCGTGTTTATATGAAAATCTGCGTAAATTTAAAATAATTAATTTTAAAATTAATGATGTGTATTATTTTTTAAAAAATAAAATAGAATAAATGATAAATGGGGAAAATCACAAACCAATTTATCATACCATTGAAGGGAAAATCCCTAGAAAACGATTTCTAAGAAACAAATCGAAAGACTAGAAGTTGAAGGCATGCCAAAATTTTGAAGACTGTAAAATTAAAAATCATACCAATTTAGTACTCTATATATGTTTCGACTTTAGGCTTTTGGGCAAAGATGAAGCTAAGGATAAACCATTATGCATGAGATCAGTCCACCTTGGTCCAGCCCATTTGGTTTTGCTCTTTGACATACATACGAGCCCTATGTCTTATGTGTGTCATCTTTAAGACCCCAATTCTATACCTGACTCGTTTCACGCTTTCACTGATCAAAACTCATAAAGTATTCTTTTTTTCTTCTCTGCAGTCCAACTGAGAGTGGCTTACAATTCTAATTCATTTCATTCAGGTAATTGATTTCAGATTCAACAACCTCTCTCCCTAATCAGTTTCTCTTTAAATCTTGTTTAAAGATTCTTTCTTTCTAAATTTTTTATTTATCTCTATCCTTAAAGGGCTATTATTTTCCTTGTTCTATGTTTATTTTTTTATTCTTGAAGTGGGATTTTGTCCGATACTTGTATTTTTTGGTCATTCACTCATTTGAGAATAATAAACTACAATAATTACGGCCTAGGCTCTACAAGTTAGAATATGTTGGATTAGTTTTAAGTTTATTTCTAGAATATGATGGAGTAGTTTTAAGTTTATTTCTTTGTATTGATTCTGCTTATGTTTGCTTTAAAATTTACAACTACAATGGAACAAAAGAGAAGCAATTAGAACTTAAAATTTTGGTGGTGAAGGTTAGTGTCTTGTAGTGGAAATCTCCGATTTTCAGGACTGGTCAAGTGATCCCACTTTGCAATTTCAAGATGGTTGTAGTGAATTTTGGCAATTATGCTGTTGATAGTTGCTGAGGCCAATTGTCTTAGCATATACGAGCATCCTTGAGCTGTGAATTGAGGCAAGTTTGCAGGCATATTGGTCTTAACCATTTGTATAAATTTCATGCTTTCAGTGGAAAGTTTTGTGCTTTACATGCCTGTGGTAATCAGCGGGAGTGAAAACCTGCTGAGCTAGTCTACACAGATTTGCAGGTTAGATAGAGGTTCATATGGAACCTCTATTTGCTTTTTGGTAACACGTAGCTGAGCTTCTCAAACTGGAAATTTTGCAGCATTTTTAGATCATTGCTTATATTGCTCTTAAGAATGAACTTAGCAGTTCTAGTTTTCTTTTTGACCCTCATTTTCTGTTCTGTAGGTAGTTTGAGCGAGCTTCAGCGATTCTAGAATGCCATTTCTTTTATTTGTTATTTAAAATGTATGGGTTAACATGTAAAATTTCGTACTGATAACGGAGTTAACAACAATTTCTTTTACATGTTAGGTCTCAGTCTTTCTTTTTTGAACTTGGTTTATAATCCCAATGGCACGAACGCGGAATGTCATGGTTGCCTCTGGCTTATTGGCTTTTGCAGCTGCAGGCTTAGCATTTCCATTTTATTTTGCGTAAGTACACTTCTTTCTCAACCACAATGTGTTGTTGAGAGCTATATTTATCAACCTGCAAAAGTTGAATAATGGTTGTATCATCCAGGACATCCAGGAGACCTGTGGACTCATCTAAGCCACTTCCTCCGCAGGCAACTTTTCGAGGGCCTTACATAAACACTGGTTCACGAGATGTTGGACCTGATCACCAGACTTACCCAAAGAAATGATCCTTTTTGTTTGAATAACTGCTGTTGGCTGTAAGTGAATGTATGCTTACTGCACACTATGTGAATTCACAATGTGTTTGAACTTGGGCATTCTTTTGGACTAATGGAGGCGTCTGTGGAGGCTGATCTATAAATTCACTTTGCTTTCTACAGCATTATGAGTGATAGTTGTTTGGTACTATCATGGAAAAGGACAAGTGAATATGAAATTTTTATTTGTAATAACTCAAATGTGAAAAAATTATGACATCCGCTATTAGCTTCTGCTTCCATTGTTTGAATTGGAATATAAAATTGACTCAGCAAGATTTCTGGAATTTTTTTATCTCTTTGTGGATATCTTGTTCCCGTGCACTAGCTAAGAGTTCCTGCGCTTATGGTTGATATGTTGATCTTATCTTTCAATATACTGACTTCTGCAAAAAATATATTGTTTTGCTTTCTCGTATAAATCGAGGACATAATGTGAAAAAGGAAAGAGCAAAGAGCAAATATTTTGTTCTGCTCTTCTATGCGTCATGATCTTATCCCTTTTGTTGTTTTTTCCTGATTTATTTAATGTTATTATTTTTAACACAACATGAAATGTGAATATGATTCATTAAATATCACGTTCACTCGAGTGTGCAACTTTTGAAATGTTGCAGTGTGGTAACAGCCCTCAAGAGTAGTTTCACTTTTGATGGATGGTACTTTGATGCTTGATTTTTTATGGCCAAGAATGGTTGCTATGTTATGTTCTTAAGTAGTTTATATATATATAAGGATCAATTTACTCAGTGAAACTAAAAAAGTTTTACATATTTTTTTACCCATTGATTTCAATAAATGTAGGGGATGAGATTAAATCATATATGTTTTTAATTTTTACTTGTCTTTCTCATCTCTTAGATCTATTGAAATTAAATTTTAGAAAAATATGTAAAACTTTTTTTAGTTTACACTGTATAAGTTGATCCCTTCTCTATATATAAAACTTTCTCATTTGTCAATTTATTGCTTCATGGTTGGCCGCCTGCACTTCTTGCGACAGAGCATGCTTTTCTTGCATCTTTATAACATTTATTGAAGAGGAGATTTCATATATATGTCATGGGGATCATTGGATGTCATTCTTATGCTGAATATAGACAGAGTCATGAGCCAACTGATTGACCTTTCTGAAGACTTTGGGGCATCAACGTATTAATCCAACATCTCCCAAAATTTTCCTATCCTTTTCCCCTACAGTATTCACTTCTTACTCAAAATTATATTTCTTTTATAGAAGCTGATGATCCTCCCCCCCTTCTCTTCTACTTCTATATTTTGTTCACTGTTCTTCATTAACATAGCACTCTCTTTATAGTTAAGGTCATGCCTATATTATTTTAAGCTATGCTCAAGCTAGTTTGGTCGACTCCTTAAATAATCAGTATCCATATCTAGGGCCTAAAAAGTTATGCTCACTTTCCATTATTTGGTCTCTAATTTGCATAATCCAAGGGGAAAAAGGGTTATTTACCCAAGATTACGGCTCCATTTGGGAGCTCGGTGGAGGATTATCACCGGAGAGGTGATTGGACCCCCCATCTTAACCACATGTGAAAGAGTTATGTCAGTGTCTTGCTGACACACATTGGTTATGGGCTGTTTAACTTATGATTGTGCCAGTTTCTAGTGTTATTGAATTCTTCCACAGCGGATCTCCATTTCTGCATTATTGCCATTGAAGAAGATTAGCTTTGTTGCCATCTGAGTTCAGCTTATATGGCATGAGGTTGCTGTGGGAGGTTGTCACGGTTGAAGGCATAATGTCCTCCAATAGGTAAGTGATCGGGTCAGGTAGGGTAGATTAGACATCTAAAAAAATTGCTTTGTTTCGCGATGGGTATTGTTAACGATTAATGAGATAGCTATTATTTTTGTGAGTGTTTATAGAAAATAAAAGGGAGAGAAAAAACGTCAAATGAGAAAAAAAAAAATCGGGCGACTTCACAAGTGCCAAACTACTCAGTGTCGTGTCAAATCAATCCTGCTACTTTTGCCACGTATTTTGAAACCATTACTCCTTAATAACGTTAAAAACTTGTGGCTGTAATGCCATGTCCAAACTCCAATATAAACGCAGATTTCTGGTCGTCATCCCAAACGGCTAATCCTCTGTAAGTCCCATTGCAAGATCGTCCAGAAAGCCGCAAACAATTACGTGTCATTGTTCCATTGGTTCTTGTCAAAGGCTTTTGGGAAGACACATAGATACTTCAGCCAGATGCGAGTCCCTGGTCTTAAAACCCCACATTTGCAGACCCGCAATTTCAAACTTGCACGCAAGTTTCTCCTTTTTTTTTTTTTTTTTTTTTTTTTTTTTTTTTTTTTAAAAAGAAAGAACCCATTTTTCTTGTTTTTAATAGACTCAAAAGAATTAAAGAAATCAGAATTATAGTACAATTTTCAAATAGAGAAAAGATCAGCAAAGATAAAAAAAAAATGGCGGTGTTTCTAGCTACTACTGCTTCTGCTGCCCATATAGCAACTTCTTTTATTGCATCCTCACAAACAAGCAAAACCCACCTTTTCATTTCTCCAAGGAAGAACCTTACTCCAAGAAAAATCACAAAGCTCACGCCTCGCGTGGCAGCTCCACCCTCATCATCAGCAGGACCAACTTCGGATCAAAAACAAGAAGAAGAGTATATGGTAGGTGATGAGTTTGGTAAAGAGAGTTCAGATTCTAAGTTTTCATGGAAAGATCATTGGTACCCGGTTTCTTTGGTTGAAGATTTGGACCCAGCCTTACCAACCCCGTTTCAGCTTCTGGGTCGTGACTTAGTGCTTTGGTTTGATAAAGGAAGGAATGAATGGGTTGCTTTGGATGATAAATGTCCGCATAGGCTTGCTCCTTTATCTGTAAGTTTCTTAATTCTATTTCTAGACTCTGTTTTGATCAGATCGTGGTTGCTACTTATTTGGTTTTTAATAAAAATGAAGAATTTGGATTGAAATTCTACTTAAAACATACTGCAGCGTCTAGATTTTTCTGGTCCTTTCGTCTTCTATTCACTGCATAATCTAAAGTTCAAAAGTTTGGTTGTCTTTAATTTGCGTATTAGTATCAGCTGCTAAATGAAAAAAAAAAAGTTGTTGGTTTTGATTGGTTTCTTTGAATTTGTAGGAAGGGCGGATAGATGAAAATGGGCACTTGCAATGTTCATATCATGGGTGGTCTTTTGATGGATGTGGATCTTGCCACCAGGATTCCCTCAGGCTGCCATCTCAAAGGTCCTGAAGCTCGGTGCAGTGTCAGTCTCCAAGAGCATGTGCTACTAGGTTCCCACAAATGGTGTCTCAAGGCTTTGCTTTTGTTTGGCCTGATGACAATGGTCCAGGAAAGAGCAAGTGCCACCAAAGCCCCCCATGTAAATCATTGCATCTAATTTTATTATCTGTTTTGTGATTCATCGACTAGATCAATTACTGGGACCAGATGATCTAGGTGAATTATCTTGAATGAGACATCCAATCTTATGATTTTCAGGTTGCCTGATGCACTTGAAAAACCTGAAGTTTGCCACTGTGAACATTCAGCGTGAATCTGTTCGTAAAGTGTTATGATACCCGCTCATGGAGAAATGTGCTCTGATCCTTCCCACATTGATTTTGCACATCAACAAGGTGCTTTTACTATCTATGAGTTGAAAAGATACATTCATGTTATAGTGAGAGTTAAAGATTTCATTAGTTTCCAAGTGAAACAAAGTGTTTTTTTTTTTTTTGTGCATGAAAATTTTTACTTTCTTAATTTTCGTGATAAGACCGTAGATAACTTTGTCTGTAAAATCCGGCTAATATATCTATTCACCAATTTGTTTTGATGTTAAGGGACCGAGTAATAAAGATGAAGCTTCTTGAAATTTCAAGTTGTTTTATATAACACACTTTTCATAGGTGCTTTAACCACTGAGAACCAATAAGATTACTGCATTAACATTGTCTAATCCTAGGCAATCTTCTTGTCTTTCAACATCTAATAGATCAAAGACTGAAGATATTTTAACATGTTTTCTTTTGGTACAAGACCACATGTTTCAAGTTTCTGTAAATTATTTGAAAATATTTTATTTTGAAACACACTGGCTCTTATGGTTGTTGTAATGTTGTTTCAATCCCTAGTCTTAGTTTTGGAAAAGAACAAAGTCGCGAAACATAATTCATTTATTGCTGACAACTTTTCTGCATTGTAAAACGCAGGTTACAGGGAGGAGAGACAGAGCCAAACCTTTGCCATTTAAGGTGGAGTCTAGTGGCCCTTGGGGCTTTGGTGGATCAAATGAGGGTAATCCGAAGATCAGCACTAAGTTTGTTGCACCATGTTATTATATGAATAAGTAAGTTCATTAACCATTGGCTGTGTTTAAGATTTAAAATTTCAATGCTTCTTAGAGTAACTTCTTTCCCATGTTACCTAAAGGTTTCATGAATTTTATATTTCTATGTCACTGTAAAACTCATACCATACACTGACATACAAAAACTTTAAGTTAAATTGAATGCATCAAAGATTATTGTCAAAGGCTTGCCTTTCAAAGTTTTAACTTTTAAAGTCTATTATGCCTTTCTCTTTTGCTGCATGTCTTTCATGCGTATAATCAATTTTTGTTGATAATGAGGACCAAGTTGCTTTGACACTGACTAATGGCTCATTTTCTCTTGTATTATTGTCCTTAAAAGTTTTGTGGATCTTCTTTCAAATTTATCATACTTGTGCCATCTATTCCTGCAGAATAGAGATAGACACAAAGCTTCCTATTGTTGGTGAGCAGCAATGGAAGATATGGATATGTTCATTCAATGTACCAATGGCTCCAGGGAAGACACGATCAATTGTTTGTAGTGCTCGAAACTTCTTCCAGTTTACAGTGCCAGGGCCTGCCTGGTGGCAGGTGAGTACTATTTCCTTGTGCTTCTAATGCATATGTTTGTGTCTGATGTTGCAGTTATATGGGGATCTTTACTCCTTCCTATATTTCTTTCATGATGTTTCCCGTGGCCCTATACCTTACTTCTTTTCTACGTACATTATGTTAGAGCTTCTTGCAAGGTTTATTCAACATGGTCTATTTTATTGTTTCGTTTAGTTGAAGTATATAAACCTGTCTGTAATCTTGTGCTATGTTAATGAGTA